ATGAATGGCAGTGTCCTGCACAATGGCACCCAGTCTGAGTTTTCCCCATCCAAATGGGGGTAAAACAATGATATGTACTGACACCAACTCTCTTTTCCATTTTCTTGGCTGCCTTCCATACTCGTGCCAGTGCCAATTTAGCCGGCGGGGTGGACATTCAGTACCGGATGAAGGATCTTTTCAACATAAGACGACTCCAGGCAGGAACAAAGGTGTTGGCAGCTTCCATTAATGAGCTTTAGTATGCAGACGACCTCACCCTTGTCACTCACACTGAACGCGACCTACAGATCCTGAACACCTACGCAGATGCGTATGCACACTTCGGCCTTGATGTGAATGTACGTAACACTCAGATTCTCTTTCAGCTTACCCCTGGTTCAGCCACATCACTATCTTCCAGTTTAACAGTACTACCCTCTCTAATGTTACTCACTTTCGGTAACCCGGATCCCAACCTGTCCATCACCACGGACATCGATGAAGATTCAACATCGGAGCAGATGTGCATCTCAAGCCTTTGGTAGACTCCGTACTCATGTCTTCAGCTGTAGGGAGCTGAAATTATCTACAAAGTTGCACATATATCGAGCAGTGGTCCTCCACCCTGCTATATGGCAGTAAGACATGGGTCACATACAGGAGGCACCTCAAGGCACTTGAAAACTTTCACCAACGTAGTCTACATTCCATCCTCCGAGTTTGCTGGGAAGACAAGAGAACAAATGTCAGTATTCTCGCTGACACCAACTGTAGGAGCATCGAGGCTACCATTATCAATGAACAACTACGCTGGACTGGCCACGTTACCCGCATGGACTACAGTAGACTGCCAAAGCAGCTACTTTACAATCACCTAACGAATAGTAAACGTATCGCTGGCGGGCAACTGAAAAGGTATAAGGATAGTCTTAAGACAAACCTGAAAAAGTACCAAATCGACCCCCTCACCTGGGAGACAATTACTCCACACCGTAACTCTTGGAGAAGCACCACACAAGAAGGTGTCAATACTTTCGAGTTAGCCTGACTGCATACCTAGGCTGACAACTTGACAAGCGCCAGCGCCGGAAAGTTGCTGTCGCCGCCCCTCCCGCATTAGATATAGCCCTGCACACCTGCAACATCTATGAACGATCCTGCCGGTCCCATATCATAATAAAACGGTAAAGGTGGAGAACACGGTTAACGTGTAGATTAATGCTGCCAACGATTCTAGCAAGAACACACTGTTTTTCCACCATAATTTTTGTTGGGAAGTTGTGAGAGGTTGGAGTCATAGACCACGTTCTTTGTAGACTTTATTCTAACAGCGTCAGCTGGTGACTGGCAACCGGGCGCTGCCAAAGACAAGCCCCCATCTCAACATGGGAAAACATATCGTACGATGGTACAATCTTACATCTCCCCCCCAAGTTAAAAGGAAATGACAATGCACATTTGAACTAACAAAAGGAAAACAATGCATTTGTTTCTAAGCACTTCAACACTATTATAACTAGAGTACCCCTGGAAAATTTCCCTTTTCAACACTGGGTTACTCAGGCCCACCATAACTTTACGTAATAGCATGTACTCAGAGAGGTCGTTATCACAGGTGGGACATTTAAATTCACACTCCACTGCCTCTGCGAAGCATCGTTGAAAATACCTTTTCATGGGCTCCTCTTCACCTTGTTTGCTGTTGAAAAACTCGTTCCATTTCACAGCTTGGTTTGAAGATTGAAGAACCATTCCACTGATGGCGTCCAGGGCTTCTTTGGGCGAGAGCTGCTCCCACTGACCGCTGGGGTATCTCGAGTCAATCACCCTTTGGAGTGCAGGGACGCAGTTCAGGCGAATGTGGAGTGTGGCCACCAGTTGGGACCACCCGTTCAACAGCACCCATCACTCCATGGACCGCCTCCATGTCCTAAACGCAGCTGCTGGCATTTCTGCCTCACACTTCTCTGGAGCGACAGCTGCTGAGGGCTTCATGACCGGCATAGAAGCATGACCACCGCCAGCACCTAGAGACGCCATCAATGCACTCATGGCCTGCTGCTGGGCGCGCGTGGTGTTCCCGGCCGGTGTAGAGAAGCCCTGGCGTCCCCTTGAGGGCGTCGAGAATCGTGGACGTGTAGGGGCCATGTCAGCGTTCTTGTTAGGGCTGTAATGGCGTGTCGGGCCCCGACATATCCTACTCACTGCGCCATGTGAGAGGTTGGAGTCATAGACCACGTTCTTTGTAGACTTTATTCTAACAGCGTCAGCTGGTGACTGGCAACCGGGCGCTGCCAAAGACAAGCCCCCATCTCAACATGGGAAAACATATCGTACGATGGTACAATCTTACAGAAGTGCATACTTTTTTTATAATTTATACTATAATACAGTCGACGAGCCCGTCGGCGGGTCGTCTGAATCGCAATACCATGCTATATAATACATGACCCAACTTTGAAAAAAATAGCGTTTCCCCAATAGGGGAACACGTTACATTAGGTTAAATAAAGATAAGTTAAATACTGACAATATATCAACACTCAGGGGGGTTGAGGGGGCGACGCCCCCCCACTAGGGGGTTAGGTCAGGTTATGTTATGTGAGGTATAAGGAAAACATTAGTGTTTTTTTATTTCCACAGAAAAAAATATCTCCAATAAAAGAGCAGCAAAATTCATGCAGGAAAAAAATTTTGCTGGCGAAATCGCTCGCAGCACTTAAGTAAACTTTTACCAATTGAACCAAAATTTCTGGAGATACTAACTGCATGATATTAAACACGAAAATGGAACAGTAGACAGAACCTTACAGAACCTGACCTAACCAACCAAACCTTACCTAACTTGCTAACCAGAGGGCTCCGCCCACCGTAATGGTATTTTAAACAGAAAGAACATACTTTGATATCTGGCACCAATGAAAGCATCTTTCTTGAAACGGCATTGTGTAATCTTACGTATATCGGTTGTTGAACTGAAACATTTCTTCACTGTCAGTTCCCTGACCCATTTTGAACACTTGCACATCCAGCCAACTGGTCCATGTTGACAGATGAACTGTTGGAGACGGTCTTCATCCTCTGCAAGCACAGATAACTTGCGAAACGACAAAGAACAACCCGCACAGGACGCCATAAATACATAATTAAATTCACGATGACGAGCTTTTCAGTGTCTGTCCAATTGTGAAAGAACAATAAGTATAGGAGTCTACAGTATACAGTTCACCTAGAAAGCAATTATATTTTAAAGAAATTGGAAATGTATCCAAACCTATTATATAGCATTCGAATCCAATTACCTGATTCTCGTGATTTATACACAGAATAGGTTTAAGAACCTATTGAGCCAAAAGAAAAACGGGGAACTGCTCCAACAATACAGAAACGACTCAAGAAAGTGAAGCCTATATCATGAAAAACAAAGGTAATCAAACCCCTGATGTGACGCTATACTGTTTACTTTAAAGATATCCAAGACCGGTGAATTTTCGGCGGAATATTTACGGTTAATTATTAATTTATTCGCATACAAAGCACGTAGAGATATGAAATTAACGCCATATGAATAATTTCAACGCCTTTTTACCATGCAATTTCCTTATCTTTCATGCACTGGTGATTTATGATCGTAGATAAAGAAAATGGAAAAAATTACTTAAATTTAAATGAAAATTTTTCAGTTTTATTAGTTACTATAATCAAAACAATAACTGGAAAATGTGGACGAAATATATACTACTATTACTACTTTGCTGTCACTCAGAATTGAGTATGACGATCATCCAGCTATGACACAATGATATGTGTTACTAAGGATGTCACCTTCGTTAGTGAGTCTTAAGGTGACTAAAAAGGCTGATACGAGAACGGCAGAGTCGTTCACAGCTGTTTCACATGTGGATGGCGCCATCTAGTGCGGGGGGGGGGAGGCAACTGCAGCGTCTTTCCGGTGTTCGTGCCTATCTGCCTAGGTATGCAGTCGGGCTAACCAGGGGCGTCATTTGGGGGGGAGGGCACTCCCCCCCAAAGACCTGGCTTGCCCCTCCCAAGGCCTGTCTTGCTCTCCAAGGAAAATTTTTATTATTTTTTTTTATATAGACGAATTTGGATTTGGTGAGAACATGTCAATGGTATTTTTACTATGCATAATTGAACAAAATGATAAGTATTCATCTATTTTCATCGTTCCCATTGCCTATCATGTATAAACTGAATAGCAGCAAGGAAGTAAGTCATAATGCTAGAAGCCATACGGTCCACACCGGGCAGATGCAAATTTAAAATATAAAGTGTTGGAATCTGTTCCGTCTGTGCCAGCACCGCCCGGCGACACCACGACGGAGCAGGATTTTGACCCAGTCAAATTTATTTATTCTTAAATATTTCGTCTCAAATAAATTTTAAGTATTGGTTGACTTTTTTAGATTTATGTAGAAGAAACAAATCTTATAAAGTGATTGAAAACTCTTCGATTATGATAGAACAACAATTATACAAAATTTAATTATATCAATTAGACTAACTACAACGTTGTATGTTTGTTTAGAATTAACCGAAATAAATAGCAATACATTTTTTCTATATAAAATATTATCTATCATACTAGATATATGTCCAGATAATCATCAACATAATGGCATGAAATAAAATACGTTTTTTATATTTGCATCATGGCAAAAAATTAAGAGCATTTGTGTCTGTGCATGCAATACAGCATACTTTCCGTAAAATTTCAATTGCTCGTTAATTCTGCCACGTGCCTATACATCTACAACATTGCTTTTCACATTTTGTAAAAGTTTCAGCATTTTTGGAAGTTCGTGTTTGTTGAAATCGCTTCCCCAACTGTTCAGTATTTCTCTCCCATCAGGTTAAAAGTCCGCCTACCTCCTAGACTGTAGAACTCACTGTGGGCAGCGTTCACTATGTTGTGGCTCTCATGTCTCGACCTTAGAACCTTCTATAAGAACAATGCGAGAATGAAATAATTAAACAGTTATTGTTTGTATTGACAGTAAAGGAGGAGAAGCAACTGCTGGAAGGAAGGGAGACCCAGCTGGCTGCTTCTGATGTACCTCACTACCACACCTACCCACAACAACCCTGGTAGGTCCACCCCCTACACTTCCCCGTTATATGAACTTCATTTTATGTGTACGGTGTATTAAAGGTGATTATAAAGCACGTTGATACGTGGCTAGGGTTATTAGTCTTCACATATACTGTACAGTATATACATTCTTATCATATCTAAGTACATACACCTGTGCTGGTGTCAGTATACAGATATTACTGTACTCTACTTCAATTTCATATCTTTGGGTTCTGATCTTTATGTTTCGGGATACAAATTTTGATAAAATTTGAATCTCTCATATTTAATAAAATTTAGCTGTTGCTTATTATAAATTGACAATCCTTGTGCAATATTATAGTATCTATCGCACTTCTTGAGACCTGTCCTATAATTTGCTTATATCTGGTAAGTTACTCTAAAATTTATTCCGTATATTATAAAGACGAGCATTTTTTTAGGCGTCTATTTTTTTTTCATTATAGGAAAAACGGAAAAAAAACCGAGAGCTTACTCTAAAAAATTTAAGGGAACATAGTACATAATGTTGTTCTAATATGGTAACTTTACTATAGGATACTTATCAATGATCGTGGAAGTCTTCACCAAGTTACAATAAATCATCTCTATTCTGGACGAAAAGATACAAACCTTGGGGTGGAGGGAGTTGTTAAATGTTTTGGTTAAAAAGATTTTGAGGCAAAAAGCTCAGATTAAGATGCTTCATTTTTATAAATATGACGTGATTTCTCCAGCTTTATTATCATACTCTTTACTGTAGTTTATGACTATAATTTATTTACTGTTTATTTATGAAGTTACAGAATTTGATGTTTCTTAACATAAAGAAAATATACCTCATATCTGTTGTTAGATGATCTCACTGAACTAATCCTTCAATAGGTGCTGATTAGAATACGTATTTTTTTTAAGATTCTTGTTTTACATTATCATTTTTCATTTCTCTGAGATATTCACTATTTTTAACATGTTTTACAAGTTTTCAACAGAAATAACAAATCCTCGGTTGTGATTGTGGCACTGACGTGTTGGCTTGATATGTTTGTTGGTGGTACGCGATACTAGGGTAAAGAAATCTAAATAAACTCCACAAAACAAAGTTTGAGTTAATTTAACCACTGCCTGAAGAATTTATTTTTTTACAGGAATTAGCCCACCTGGGCACAGGTCACCAACCCACATCGTGGCCAGGGGGGCGAAAGAATAAATAAATTAAACCATAAAGAAATACAAAGTGAAAGACATAAAACAGCTTAAAAGTGAGAAATGGTATATATGTTGTGTTGTCAAAGTAAGAGAAACAATTGAAACCCTGCAATTGTGTGTAAATGAGGCAGAAAGTCTGTCAGATTAGCAACCCGGCACTTGGTCAAAATTTTTGTGATGCCATATGGCAGCAGGGTCTACCATTAGACAACACATGTTTCCAATATCTCCCAAGGTGGTCATCTTCATGTAGTGTAGTGACACACAACCAGAATGAGCAATTTTTTTCTCGGGAGGTATCCAGCACCACCTTGATGGAAAGAATGCCCATTAAATCCACATTTCGGTGTGAAACATTTGTGTCATAGTCAGATATTAAAGTTGATTATCTTTTATCTCTCTTGGTACGTATCATAATATTCCTTTACAGGCCGTACCGTGAGTGGGTGGGGGAACTGCAGGGCCTGGAACAGCAGCAGCAGAAGGAAGTGCCACAGGGGGACTTCCTTATGGCCCCTCTCACTTACCAGGCCCATAAAAGAGGCACTGTTGGGGGTCCTGTAGGAGGAGACAGCACAGACAGGAGTGACGAAAAGGATACTATCGATGGATCTTGGTCTTGGGAGGCGAGGCGACGGGCAGCCAAGCGTGGCATTGGTCTCTTCTCCCTGGCGTTCGCTCTGGCTCAGAAGCCTACCAACGCCCCTAAGTGAGTCGTTTAATAGTTTATTGTATTTTTGTGCTTCATCAGATAAGGTCATACTCTGAGTCACTTTCTACACTAGGCAACAGCTGCTGATAATTAAGAAAGGTGTTCTGTTTTAGGTAAGGCACTGGCCGCGGGCTGGAATTCTCAGATATTTGTACGTTTATTTTTCTCACCCAGTTGGATATGACCTTCTGTTAGTACAAGTACAAACATGAGTGTAACAGATCATTAATTCTTACATGCGTAGTCCAGGAAAAAATAGATTACAAACCTTTTAGGATCCGGCACTAGTGTAACGCCGTCAAAGAACACGTTTTATCGGGGTATGGATGTGTATGTCACGACCTGTATAGTCTGGTTATGTTACTCCAGGTACTGTCTGACACTAAACTATTGAAGACCACGAAGAACACTCCCGGCTCTCATATGCAACCAACCTTCCTTCCTTGGACCAGTCTTACAACTTGATAATCAAGGATAAAACAACATGCAAATCCCTAATTAATAGTACAAGTTTAAGATACAATAATACAAGGCATGAAACAATAATAATAATAATACAAGGTGTAAGATAAAAGATAATATAAGGTACTAAACACAGTTATACAGAGTCGAGTGTGGAAAACTGACACGACATGAAGAACAACACACAGGCAGGAAACAAATACTCACTTCCTTGATTAGGTCCCGAGAGAGAGAGTATAGGAGGTGCTAGAGAAAGAGAGGTGTAATAGGTGGTAGAAAGAGAGGTGTAATAGGTGGTAGAAAGAGAGGTACAGGAGGTGGTATAGAGAGAGAGAAGGGTGTAGGAAGTGGTAGAGAGAGACAGGTGTAAGAGGTAGGAGAGAGAGAGGGGTCAAGGGGTGGTAGAGAGTTGTAGGATTTTGGTACAGAGAGAGAGAGAGGTGTGGGAGGTGGTAGAATAGTTATTATCCCTTAAAATATCAGAATATAAATACAAAAGTTTAAATGCTAAAGAATTGGAGTAGTTTCTGTTGTGTCCGTTCGCCGGCCAATCAGCTGCCTCACTACAAATCTGACCATAGGCCTCAGTTGCAAGGTTAGAGTGAACAGACTATAGTTCAAAGTTCATTAATAAGATGTTGTCAAGTATTAGCTAATGTTAAAATAAGGTGTAGACGGTAGAGGCTAATGTGGAGATCCTCACCGAGCGTGCGGGTGTTAGTGACTGCAGAGGTGTAATGATCTGATGATACTTATAGCCGGACCTGTTTCTGTACAAGTGAAAGTGATCATGCAGGATCTTTGTCATTTCAAGTTGAGATGTAACAAGTTATTACCAGAAGATCTTGCCTCGTGTGTTAAACAACCTCAGATGCCTAGTTATACAGATTCTGTGACAGTGGTTCCAACACTACATAATGAAGGTCGCAGCAGAGTACTGTAGTAGAGAACAGACCGGAATGAAGAAAAAATAATAATAATAATAATAAATCCGAATATTTCTTTACTCCTTTTTCTGTCTCTGATATTCTACCTTCTTGTGTCTCCCCGTGTGTACTGTATATCCTTTCTTTTCTACTGTCTCCCTATATTCCCTAACCCCTCTCTCTCTCTCTCCCTACTAACCCTTTTTCCCTCCTTTTCCACTCCCCATAATAGGCTGTTAGATAAGTCCCTGTGCACCTGCAATAATTAACAATATATTAATTCATTGTTATACACCTTGTCCTACTCCTAGTAAGTATTGGGAATAATATCCACTTACAACATTTTTTTTACGGGGAGCTGCAGGTGCACAGAGACTTTTCTAACATCCTGTATTTATCCCTTCTTCGCTCCCACATTTCTTATCCCTCCTTCCCTCTCCGATCTCCAATATTCCGTCTCCCTTTCTCTGTCTTCCATCTTCATCTCCCATATCCCTGACGTGGTTTTAAGTCTGGGAGCGAAGAGGAAGTGAGTGAGTGAGTGAGTGAGGGAGGGTAAACCTATGAAGGTCGTCATACTTAGAGGCTGATTGAGACCACCACCTCGCCTTTCACCCGCCTCTCACCCACCGCAACCTCTCACACACACACACTCATCCATCCATCTTGTGGCAGCTCTCTCTCTCTCTCTCTCTCTCAGGGAGTTAATGCGAGGTGCTGATGGGGGCTGGTGGCATTTATGTCAGGGGTTTAGTGGGTTCTGATGGATTCTATTGTGTTCTTATGGCTAATCTTTCATGGGGTCTGATGGGGTCCATGGAGGTCTGGTGGGCACTAGTGAGGACCGAAAGGGTTTATTACGATCTGGTCTGGTGCTGAATCTGTCAAGGTGTGTCTTTAAGTTAAATGGGATATATTGACGGATATTAACCTCTAGTTGGGACTGGTGAAGACTAATAAACACTCGTGAGGTCTAGTTCAGCCTCATGAGGTCAAGTGTTATATACTGCTGGTGTAGTATAGTGCTGGAGTAGTGTACCGCTGGTGTAGTACACTACTGGTGTAGTATACGGCTGGAGTAGTGTACTGCTGGTGTAGTATAATGCTGATGTAGCATAATGCTGGTGTAGCAAAATGCTGGAGTAGGGTACTGTTGCTGTAGTACACTGCTGGTGTAGTATACTGCTGGTGTAGGGTACTGCTGGTGTAGTATACTGCTGGTATAGGGTACTGCTGGTGTAGTATACCGCTGGTGTTGTATAATGCTGTTGTAGTATACTGCTGGAGTAGTATACTGCTGGTGTAGTATAAAGCTGGAGTAGTATACTGCTAGTATAGTGTATTGCTGGAGTAGTATAATGACGGAGTAGTATATTGCTGGTGTAGTATACTGCTGGTGTAGTATAATGCTGGAGTAGTATACTGCTGGTATAGTGTACTGCTGGTGTAGTGTACTGCTGGTGTAATATAATGCTGGAGTAGTATACTGCTGGTGTAGTATACTGCTGGTGTAGTATACTGCTAGTGTAGTATAATGCTGGAGGAGTATACTGCTGGTATAGTGTACTGCTAGTGTAGTATAATGCTGGTGTTGTATAATGCGGGTGTAGTATACTGCTGGTATAGGGTACTACTAGTGTAGTATACTGCTGGTGTAGTATAATGCTGGAGAAGTATACTGCTGGTGTAGTATACTGCTGGTGTAGTATACTGCTGGTGTAGTATACTGCTGGTGTAGTATAATGCTGGTGTAGTATACTGCTGGTGTAGTATACTGCTGGTGTAGTATAATGCTGGTGTAGTATACTGCTGGTGTAGTATACTGCTGGTGTAGTATACTGCTGGTGTAGTATAATGCCGAGAGGTATACTGCTGGTGTAGTATACTGCTGGTGTAGTATACTGCTGGTGTAGTATACTGCTGGTGTAGTATACTGCTGGTGTAGTATACTGCTGGTGTAGTATACTGCTGGTGTAGTATACCGCTGGTGTAGTATAATGCTGGAGTAGTATACTGCTGGTGTACTATACTGCTGGTGTAGTATACTGCTAGTATAGTGTACTGCTGGTGTAGTATAATGCTGGTATAGGCACTACTAGTGTAGTATACTGCTGGTGAGTATACTGCTGGTATAGTGACTGCTGGTGTATAATGCTGGTATAGGGTACTACTAGTGTAGCATACCGCTGGTGTAGTATAATGCTGGTGTAGTATACTGCTGGTGTAGTATAATGCGGAGTAGTCCACTGCTGGTGTAGCATACTGCTGGTATAGTGTACCGCTGGTAGTATAATGCTGGTATAGGGTACTGCTGGTGTAGTATAATGCTGGTATAGGCTACTGCTGGTGTAGTATAATGCTGGTGTAGTATACTGCTGGTAGTATATTGCTGGTATAGTGTACTGCTGGTATACTGCTGGTGTAGTATAGTGCGGTATAGGGTAACGCTGTGTAGTATAATGCTGGTATAGTGTACCGCTGGTGTAGTATAATGCTGGTATAGGGTACTACCAGTGTAGTATACTGCTGGTGTAGTATAATGCTGGAGTAGTACAACTACTGGTGAGCATACTGCTGGTATAATGCTGGTGTAGTATAATGCTGGTATAGGTTACTGCTGGTGTAGTATAATGCTGGTGTAGTATACTGCTGGTGTAGTATAATGCTGGCATATGGTACTGCTGGTGTAGTATAATGCTTGAGTGGAGTACTGCTGGTGTAGTATAATGCTTGAGTTGGCTAATGCTGGTGTAGCATACCGTTGCGTGATACTGCAGGTGTAGTATAATGCTGGGATAGAATACTGCTGGTGTAGTATAATGCTTCAGTTGAGGACTGCTGGTGTAGTATAATGCTTGAGTTGAGTACTGCTGGTATAGGGTACTGCTGGTGTAGTATAATGCTTGAGTTGAGTACTGCTGGTATAGGGTACTGCTGGTGTAGTATACTGCTGGCATTGCGGGCACTGCTCGTGTAGTATAATGCTGGAGTAGTATACTACTGGTGTAGTATAATGCTGGTATAGGGTACTGCTGGTGTAGTATAATGCTGGTGTAGTATACTACTGGTGTAGTATAATGCTGGTATAGGGTACTGCTGGTGTAGTATAATGCTGGTATAGAGTACTGCTGGTGTAGTATAATGCTGGTGTAGTATAATGCTGGTGTAGTATATCGTTGTGTATTATACTACTGGTGTAGTATAACGCTGGTATAGGTACTGCTGGTGTAGTATAATGCTGGTATAGGTTACTGCTGGTGTAGTATAATGCTGGTATAGAGTACTGATGGTGTAGTATAATGCTGGTGTAATATAATGCTGGTATAGGGTACTCCTGGTGTAGTATAATGCTGGTATAGGGTACTGCTGGTGTAGTATAATGCTGGTATAGGGTACTGCTGGTGTAGTATACTGCTGCAGAAAGCTACCATCTAGTGTATTATAATGCTGGTGTTGTATACTGCTGGTGTAGTGTACTGCTGGTGTAGTGTACTGCTGGTGTATTATAAATGTTGGAAGATCACCAACAGCAGTATACTGCTGGAGTAGTGTACTGCTGGTAGTGTACGCTGTGTATTATACTGCTGGTGTAGTATATTGCTGGTACAT